TATATATATGTTCTAGAATGGATATAAATGGTTATAAGACATCACAGCAGAATTCCAGAGATTTCAGAAGTTGTGAGAGTGGCTGTTGCAGGTCACTGGTTTGAGAGCAAAGCTTCCAAGATAAGTCCAGATGCAGAAGCAAAAGGGCAGGACTGAGTGAGTCCAGATGAAGGAATGAGCAGATGGCAATTGAATAGTCTGTGATAACAACAGAGATGGAATCAAGCTGAAGCCTTCAGAACAGTTAGGAGTTCTCTGCCTGTTGGTCTTTCACACACATTGTATAATCAAGTAACAGATCAGTGAAGGCCATTGCAGTACTGAGTGTGTACCTCTTAATGGGGCCCAGGTGAGGGAGTTACACCCTTTCCGTGGTCTGCTATATCTGATAAGTTCTTGGGCTTTGTTTCCCAGATAGGATTTAAAATTCTTTATTTATTTTTATGTATATGAATGTTTTGCCTGCGTGTATGTAAGTGTACCACATGTATGCAATACCCACAGTGGCCAGAAGACAGTTAGATCTTCTGGAACTGGAGTTAAGGATGGCTGTTAGCCACCATATGGGTTCTGGGACCTGAACCTGAGTCCTCTGCAAGAGCAACCAGTGCTCTTAACCCCTGAACCATCTCTCCAGCCCCTAGTAGGATTTTAATGCAGTTATGTGCCTGTGTAGGTTAAGTCAGCCCAATAAATGGATAGGGTGGCACCCATTCTACTCTTAGGAATAACTCATTTAACAGTCTGTGCCACGTGGGTAGTGCCAGACATAAGATGCCATTCATATGTCCACCCATATGCACAGTCACCCTCCTTATGAAGTCAAAAGGTGCTTGTAACTGGAGTTTCTCAGGGCAAGGCTCAGTCTGGGAAACTACTGTTTTATATAGTATGGGGTAACTTAGGGCAGGACACAGCCTGATCTCAACAATCAGTTAGGGGTGAGAACTTAGAGCCTTCTGGGGTCTTTCCTGAGTGAGTGCATAGCCCGTCTAGAGTTTGACCTTCTAGATTCCTGGGGTTGAACTTTTCAAAGCCCTGTGGCCATCTTGATCCCTCACGTTCCTGAGCTTTTCAGTTAGTCTGTTGTTTGTCCTAGCTTGTCAATGGCCCTTGGCAGCCCTCAAATTAATCCTTTACTTCTGATTGTTTTTGACAAATGTTTCCAAATGAGGTATAAGACTTGATGGTGGTAGGGTGCTGGGGAACTAAGAGTCATGTTTGGGCTTTTACATCAGCTAACTTGCCTCCTACAGTATCTTGTTTGGAGATTGTCCAGTATGTGTGTCTGCTGCTTTGGTACTGACATTGTGCTGCGTGCTCTACCATGCTGGTCTGAAGTGCCTCCATTCCTTTGGGTCATCATCACTGTATGGGTCCAGGTTAAACTGAGCTCTTAGACACTCAGCAGGGAGTCCTGTGCTGAAAGGTTTTGCTCAGGGAATCTGTCCATTGATATAAAAAAAAGTTCATAGTGACCCAGCAATTCTATTCTAACATGGAACCCCAAATGATTGAAAACAGTTATTCAAGCAAAAGCTTATATAGGAATGTTCACAGTAGCACATAGTCAAAATGAGGAAATAACCCATATGCTCATCAACCAGTGAATAGGCAAACAAAATGTAGTGTGTTCAGGAAATGGAGTAACATTTGACTGTAAAAGAAATGCAGTATTGATATATGCCACAGGTGGATGTAACAGCATTGAAACCATGTTTTGCTAAATGAAAGAAACTAGCTATAAAAGCTCACATATGATGTTTATGAGACGTCACTCAAATACATAGGGACAAAAGATTGATTAGTGGTTGCCTAAGGTGTGATAGATAAATGATCCAGGATTTCTCTTTTAGGGGGATGACAGTAATCTAGCAATAATAGTGATAATCCATTGACTCTGGTAACAGTTGCACATAGCTGTCAATACATACAAACCATTGAGTTGTATGCTTAACATGAATTATAAGGAAGATATTAATAAAGCTGTTTAAAGAAGAAAGTTCTTAGGATCTTGAAAAGAATATTCTGGAAACCAGTATAGAAACACTACTTGGGGGCTGAGCAGATAGCTCAGTTGGTAGAGTGCTTGCTGTGTAAACATGAGGATCTGAGTTCAGATCCCCAGCACCCATGTAAAAAGCCAGACATGGTGGCATGCACTTGGAGAGGCAGAGACTGGTGGATCCTTGGGGCTCACTAACCAGCCTGTCTAGCCTATCCAGCAAGTCCAAATCCAGTAAGGGACATGTCTCAAACAAAACAAAACTCAAAACCAAAGTAGGTGATTCCTGAGGAATGACTCCTGAAGTTGACCTTAGACCTTCATGAATGTGTATGTGCACATGTACTTGCACACACACACACTGAACATGTGCACAGCCCCATACCCACAAAGCCTACCTGCATTTGGTGCTGCCCCCACACTGCTCTTTATAACAGTCACATGAGTGCATCTACTCTTGTCTCCTCCCTCTGCATATGGAGAAGCAGTATGCCTGACTTGATATTCTTAGGCAGAGCTTCCATCTCTGTCACCCTTGACTCAAGACCTGAGTTTTGTTTTGTTTGTTTTTTTCTTGTTCAAATTGTTGGCATTTTCCCCCATTTATGCTAAAAATCCTATACCCATGCAGCTTTTTCAGATTTTTGTGTGTCTAGTGAATGATGCGTTGTAGACACATACCTTTCCAATTAAAATGTAAATGTCTTGATTCACTCATAGCTGGTGATTTTACAAACTTGATTGTGAGGGCTGGATAAAATGGCAGGATTCCAGGTGATCTTGAGGCTAGTAGACACCTTAGTATAGAGCTGTCACCATGTCAGGAAGGCTCTTTTCCTCTGGGCTTGAATTCTAATGAATTAACTCAGGGATCCCAGTGTTACGGGGAACAGGAAGTTAGGGGTGGCGGCTCTTGACTAGATGCCTTGAGAAGGGGAGATTCTGTGCACTGAAGGTGACCTGGCATACTTTCCTCAGCCTTGTTGCTGATACCACTCACCTCCTTTTCTTGACACAGACTGAGATTTCTTGTTTGGTTTTCACATCTTTCTCCTTGTAGTTGCTGTGAGAGTGTTATTCTTCTTGCTTGAAAGATATACCCAAACATCTTCCCCCCTTCATCCCTTCTTCCCTGTACTCAAAGGACTCCACAGTCTTCTGGTAATCTTTTATAGCTTTCTTGGAAATCTGCTTTGACTTCTTTCTAACCACCAGTTCTTTTTATTATGTCATTTGGCTGCAAAGTAGAGACTGTTTTATCAGTTCTGGTCCTGTCCCCTGACTTGGATTGCCTGCCTCTTCTAGTAAGATGCCACTTCTCACACCCTCACAGTCTTTCTGCTCAGCTCCCATGCTTTCATCAGACTCCTAGAATCACTTCTTATTTTGTACATGCCATATAGTTTAAGTCTCTTTGGCTAGAAGGTTAAAGATAACCAGGAAACATTTATTCAACTCTGCCTATTAATCTTTGTGTATGTGACTGTGTGTGTGTGTGTGTATGTGCGCACACACGTGCAGGCAGGCATGTGCATGTGGAGGTCAGAGGACAACCTTGCGTGTCAGTCCTTACCTTATATCTTGTTTGAGACAGGGTCTGTCTCCTGTTGCTGCTGTGTGAGCCAGGCTACCTGACCTGTAGGCTTCCGGGGTTCTCCTGTCTGTACCTCCCATCTTACAACAGGGTTTGGACTTAGGTTCTCACATTTGGTACAACAAGTGCCTTACCCACTGAGCCATCACTGCAGACCTCCTTTATCTTAGTGTCTGTTCTGATGTACTCTTCCCTCTCTGTTTTCAGACTCATGTCACCAGTGAAGTGCAGCAGAGCAATGGATTAGCTTCTATGAAAATTCCCAGAGCTCTTCATTCATCTTACCAAAACAAATCATTTTGCAGGGCTTTGACTTCAGAGCCAAGAACAGTTTCAATCATAATGCTGCATATATGTTCCTTTTAATGCCCTTATATATCTTTATACTATAGTTTGGACTGTATTAGAAACAGAACTTCAAATGATACCTCAAGGCAGATTTTTTTTAATTTTGAAAATTAAAATATGGCTTCGAGTGTAGCTTAGTGACAGAATGTTTGTCTAGTATGTATGAGGCCCTTGGTTCAAACCCTGGCTTCACACACAAAAAGAAAATAGTTGTATAATAGTGTATGATAGTATAATAGTTGTCTATTTCTATTAGAAATATAGTCTAGTATATATACAATGTTGCTTTAAATAATATAGGAAAACTCAACTCTAAGACATTTGATTTATTGGCTTTTTAATATTTTAAAAATATTTTTATTTTTTTATTTTATGTATATTAGTGTATTGCCTTCATGTATATGTAAGTGCAACCAGTTCTGCAATGCCTGTGGAGGTCAGAAGAGGGTATTGGATCCCCTGGAACTGGAGTTATGGATGGTTGTTAGCTGCTGTGCAGGTTCTGGGAATTTAATCCAGGTCCTTTGCAAGAGCAGTGAGTGCTCTAACTGCTGACTATCTCTGTAGTCCCAGTTTATTGACTTTTAAAGTAGATATTATTCATTATATACATATGCTAAAAGCATATTGTTAATGTAAACATAAATTTAGATTTTGTGACAAAAGAAAATGTCTATAGTAAATTAAAATATAGGCTAGGAGAATAGTCCATATTAACTATAAAGAAAAACAGTAAAATAATATGTAAGTAAATTACAAAATTCAAAGTAGCATATGATTACTTGAGTTGAAAAATAATCTAGGAATATGAAGATCTGTGTACCTTATAACTCACTAAAAAGTTGTTTGGGATTCTGTGTTACAAAGTTGCATTTATTTGTTTCATTTATTTTTTGTGTGAATATACAGGTGTGGAGATCAGAGGACACCTTGTGGGATCTAGTTCTCGCCTTCTGTCATGTGGGTCCTAGGGACTGAACTCAGCTCCTCAGGCGTGGTGGCAGATGCCTTACCTGTTGAGCTATCTCATGGGCCCTTATTTTTCTGAGATAGAATTTTATGCTGTAGCCTAAGCTGGTGTCTAATTGTAGCAATCCTGCTTCAGCCCCAAGTGCCAAGATTGGAGGTATATACCACCACACTCAGCTCTTTTTTTTTCAGATTTATTTTATTTTATTTTATTTATTTTATTTTATTTTATTTCATTTTATTTCATTTTATTTATGTGTGTGGAGTTACAGACAGTTGTCAGATGCCCATAGTGGGTGCTAAGAACTGAACTTGGGTTATCTGCAAGAGCAGCAAACAATCGTAACTGCTGAGACATCTCCAGCCTCTCCTTTTCTTTTTTTCTTTATTTTTTTTATAATAAAAGTAATTATGAAAAAATTCGTAGACCAAAAACCCCAAGAAAAGAAAAATTACTTACTTTAAAGACAGATTTATGTCATTTCAGACTTAATATTTATAGTTAGACTTGTAAATGTTTCTAACTTGTTCTTTGCTGTGTAACAATTTTTGTAGGCATCTCTCTTGCTATTACATATAAATAATATTTGAATGACTAAGTAGTATTCTATTTCAGAGTGTACTTAGTTTATATAATCTCCTGTGTTGGTTGCTCCCTTGTTTTCCTGTGATGGATGTTCCCATGTGTACTTTGCATACTTGAGTTGAGTTTCTTTAGATAAACTTTGGGAAGTGGCACTGCTGTGTCAGTATAGATGTTCATTCTTTTTTTTTTTTTTTGAGGCAGGGTCTCTCTGTAGCCCCAGCTGTCCTGGAACTCACTATGTAGACCAGGCTGGCCTTGAACTCACAGAGATCCGCCTGCCTCTGCCTCCCAAGTGCTGGGTAGATATTCCTTTTTTATTTGATCCTAGTTATCATGCTGCCCACCAGGATGGAATAATAAATTATAATAATTCAAGGTTAGCTTTGCTTGTGCCCTGTCCTGTGCTGTATGTAATGTGAGGCTTAGGAAATACACAAAGCCACAGAAGTGAGGTCAACTACTCCAGTGAGGGCAGTGTTTTGTTTACAGCTTGGACTGTGATTCCCGAAAGCAGTAGTAAGTGTGAGTGTCTGTGTGTGTCTCTGTCTGTGTGTCTGTGTCTGTTTGTCGCTGGAAGTTAAAACTTGATACTGTATGTGTGGGACTTGGTCACAGCATGATCCTTTCTCCTTAGATGAGTGACCGGGGAGGTGGTGTTCCATTGAGGAAGATTGACAGACTGTTCAATTACATGTATTCAACTGCACCCCGGCCTCGAGTTGAGACATCCCGCGCAGTGCCCCTGGTATGTGATCCAGTATCATGGTGTGTGGATTGTTGTCTTCAGGCTCTGGTTGCTCAAAAGCCAGTTGTGCAGGAGCTCACAAGAAAGAAGGAAAGCTCTTAGAAACTATAGAAACAAACACTCCTCTGAATTTAAACAGCCCTGGGAATACTTTTTTTAAAATTGGAATGGACACAAGACAGATTATTGTTTAAGATTTTTATTTGTCACTCTTGGTAGGGACATCACAGCAGATTCCCTGTGGTAAACCAAACATGTTACACTATTTCACAAATGAAGAGTGGCTGCAGATTTTACTCTTATTTGGCCAACACTAATTAATCTTTAATGAGTATTCCCTCAAGTATTTGTAATTAGATCTCATAGTGTCAACTCAGAAACAAGACTATAATTCTGATCTTTTAAAGTCACCTGTCTGAGCCTCAATTATAATTGTTTTGATGCTATTTATTCTCAAGAACATCCCTGGACCAAAGCATCCTTACGTGGCAGAGATCAGGGATCAGGGAAGCCAGTACCCTGACTTGATTCTCTTTCCCCTCTGCTGGTTCCACAATATTAGGCCCCTCAGGAAACTGAGAACATGGAGGCCCATTTACATACTCTATACAGCTCAACCTCCCAGGGCAGGGAGAAAGTTGGAAATTGAGTACTTGACTTGGAGAGACATATAGAAACTCTGTTTAGAATATAAAATAATTGGGGCCAGTGGGTAGAAGTGTCTGCTTCACAACCCTGATGACCTGAGTTTGATCTCTAGATCCTATGGTGAAAGGAGGAAAGGAGAGCATCAGCTCCAGAATGTTGTCCTCTGACCGCCACATGTGCAACATGATGTGTGTACCGTGACTCACACATACCTGTTCTCACATTCTCTCCCTCCCTCCTTCCTTCCCCCCATCTTGTATACTCACACATATACACACGATAATAATGATAATGATAATAGTAAATAGAATATAAATTAATTGGTAGAAAGTAAAGTTAGAGCCTAAGTTTGTTATTAGCACAATGACTCCTATGTTCCCATAAATTATCACTCTGTGTGTAATGCCATTGAAGACACGATTTGGTAATAGAAACCATTTTTATTTTTATTCAAGTATTTTTGTAAGAGTTTGTAGGATTTATCCAGGTAAAGGACTGGATACAAGAAATAGTTGAACAAAGACCTAGAAGTGCTGTGTTTAAGAAACTTGGGGACAGGAGATTGTTTCTGGTAGATGGAAAATGGGAGGGAGAGACCTGATCTTGCCTGAAAAGCTCTTTCTAGAAGCTTGGCTTTTTATCTCTAGGGCAGGGAGTGGGGATGGTGGGAGTGCTTGTTTGCTTTGAAGATTTTTGGGAAGAGATCTGTCAGTGAGAATTAGAAACTGGGTTATTACAGATTATCTCCAGGTTCAGAACAAAGACTAGAAATCCATGGTGTGAAGTCATGAGATCCACCAGTTACTAGTAAAGCTGCAATGAAGCATTTTCTCATCTTGCTTCAATAGAGAGAACATGCTGTATATGATTTTGCCAAAAGCAGTATTAGGGTACCCTAGAGTAGGCTAGCAGAGAAAAGCAGGATGCCTTTCCCAGACTACCACATCATTTTATAGACTGACTTTAAACTTTAAGTTGTCCAGAACAGATGAGCTAATGCTCTTAACTCATCTTCAGCTTATTCCTTACCAGTACTTATAGTTTATGAGCTCTTTCAGATGCCTGGGCTCTGATAGCCCTGTGTATTCACTGGTATTTATCTTAATTAGAAAATGTTTCGGTATGTGGCTCTCTGAATAGAATTTTGTTTTCTCATTGGACAGGCTGGTTTTGGTTATGGATTGCCCATATCACGCCTTTATGCACAGTACTTCCAAGGAGACCTAAAGCTGTATTCCTTAGAGGGCTACGGGACAGATGCAGTTATCTACATTAAGGTAATACCATAGCCTTCTTGATTGAACCCTATTTCTTTTGATAATAAATAAATGTGTAATGGGGGGGGTAGAGAGATGACTCAGTGATTTTAAGAGCATTGGCTGCTCTCCCAAAGGGCTGGGGTTTGGTTCCCAGCACCCACATGGCAGCTAACAACCATCCTTAACTCCAGTTCTAGGGGATCCCATGCCCTCTTCTGGCCTCTACAGGCATTGCGTGACATGAGTGCACTTACATACATGCAGGCAAAACACTCAAATACATTAAAAAAAGAAGAAAATGTGTAATGAATTTTTACTCTACCTTATGCTGTTTAATAAATGCAAAAACATTTACATGGGACCTTATCCATTTTGACAGCTGAGGGGTAATATAAAATAGGGTTCTTATAGAAAATCATAAATGCACAAGAATGCACCCTCACCCTCCAGCACTGAAAAAAAAATCATAAATTTAATGTGAAGCATATGACTGGTCAGTGACCTTATCATTTTTTAATATTCATTCATTCATTCATTCAGATAGCTAGCTAGCTAGACAGACAGACAGACAGATGATAGATGGATAATGTATGTTAGTGGGTGTACATGTGTCACAGAGTACATGTGGAAATTAGAGGACAACTTGCCAGAGTCATTTCTCTCCTTCCACCATGTGGGTTCTGCAGGTTGAACTCAGGTCATCAGGCTTGGTGATAAGCATCTTTACCTACTGAACCATCTTGTCGGCCAGTAATAACACCCAGCTTGTGTGTGTGTGTGTGTGTGTGTATGTGTGTGTGTGTGTGTTACTGAAGATTGAACCCAGGACCTCCCACATGCTATGCAAGTTCTTCCTCTGACCTCCAGTAAAGTTTTTATTTTTTTAAAACTCTTATTTATTGTGTGTTTGTGTATGGGTGCACTCATATGAAGGTTAGAGGACAACTTTGCAGGAGTCAGTCTCTTTTTGCACTGTGTGGATCTTGGGGATTGAATTCAGATGGTTAGGCTTGGTGACAAGTATCTTAACTGCTGAGCCACACGTATCCACAGAATAAATAAAATGTAATAATAATTTTAGAAGTGTGGGTTGGGCTGGGTGTGGTGGTGCATGCCTTTAATCCCAGCACTCAGGAGGCAGAGACAGGCGGATCTCTGAGTTCAAGGCCAATCTGGTCTACATAGTGAGTCAGAATCTAGCTGAGGCTACAGGGAGACCCTTTCTCAAAGAAAGAAAGAGAGAGAGAGAGAGAATCAAAGGAAGGAAGGAAAGGAAGGGAAGGAAGGGAGGGAGAAACGGAAGAAAGAATGAATGCTGGTGCCTCTAAATTTCTTGTTTTGGTCACTAGATGGCACCAATTTTATAGGATAAGCTCAAGAATTTGTGTGAGAAAAATCAATCTGAAAAAATTAAATTCATTATAGATGTTATTGTTTTTAATATGTCATTTGTGATGAACTTATATGGGGCAACATCAGTGCACTATTTTTACCACCAAATGTAATATTTTGGTATAGCATATAGATAAAGAAATTCTGGACTGTTCATAAAAAGCATTTCGGTGAAAAGTTTTTCTTTTTGGAAAAAAACTAGAATACAAGAATTTTTATAGAATCATTAAACTCATCCACATTAAAGACCTTATTATGTAGCATTATCAGAAGGAAATTTCTAGTTCTGTATTATCTACATCTTGGGAAATAGCAAGGGTGTGCTGTTAAAATTCTGAAGACATTTAATTTGAAGATATAACAGAAAACATAGTCTATCTCTGCTTCCTGTTATGTTTACAGGAAGCTAAAATAGAACAGTGAATGAATGGTAGGTAATGTATTAGGAACATGAGACATACAGGCTGCAAAAATACATGTGCGATAACCAAAATTGCCTTTAATGGCAGGAATCTGGACTGGGGTAGCTCAGTAGTAGTGTGCTTGTTTCATCTGTACAAGAAAGACCCTTGGTTCAGTCTCCAGCATTCAGCAGGGGAGGAAGGGAGAAGGGGAGGAAGGGAAAGAGAGAGGGAAAAACACAAGATCTAAACAAGACCCAACATGTTTGTGTCCCTTTGGGGACTAGATGTCCCTATGTTGTATAAGATTCTGGTCTCATTCCTCCCGAGTGCTACAATTAGACATGGACTCCAGTGTCCGGCTTGTCTTTATTAAAATGCCAGTTTAGGGTTTAGGGGTATAGCTTAGTTAGCAAATGTTTGGGGTTTATTCTATAAGCATTTGTAATGGCCCTGCCAAATCTAAGATCAAACAGTTATTAATTAAATTAAGATGCTGTGTATGCCTGAGAGCAATAAAAACGGCCCAAGCATTGTTTATGCAAAAGTCAAGATACCTTAGATAAAATTTATTGATAATAGTATTGATATTTTTTTTCTTAAGTACAGTGCTAAATAGTGAAAAAGATTATATTACTTCTTGTAAATAGAACAGGTCTCATCAAATCTAAATATGTATATTAAGGAAGATTTGCTTTTTTATGCTTTCACACTTAATCAACTTTTTAAAGTAGCTGACTTCTGGCTGGGCTTGTACTCTGTGGAAGGTGTGTCTACCTGTGTAAAACGTCAATCTAGAACTTTTCCAGCTGGCTGGGGAATGACTGAAAGTATCACACCCAATCACAGAGTTATCAGTGCCAGGGGTATAGTAAACAGCCTAGTTCAAATATGTCCGTCTGAAGAAATGTGTATAGGGATCGGTGATTAATGAGGAGGCTGGTAGAATATTTACTTCATAGTTGTTTTTCCACTCTATTATCTCAAATAATGAAGTCTTAAAAATGCCTGACTTAGAGGACTTGGGTTTCTTTTCAGGCTCTATCAACAGAATCCATTGAAAGACTTCCTGTGTATAATAAAGCTGCCTGGAAGCATTACAACACCAACCACGAGGCTGATGACTGGTGTGTCCCCAGCAGAGAGCCGAAAGACATGACCACGTTCCGCAGCACCTAAATGCACTCAGGATACCTGCAAAATTCACATGTCATTTTTGCTAAATTTGGAAGAGGTGGTGTTCAGAACCATATCATACCACATGTCATGTGTGATTTTCACAGTTCGTATATGCTAAACCTAAAGGATGAAGTTATACTGATTTTACACTGATATGTTTAGTTAATTGAACATATTTTTAAACACTCATAGTTTTGGTCAGCTTCCCTCTTTATGGTAGACTTCTGAAGTGCAAAGTCTCTGGGTTTCTTTAGAAAGCTGTGTATTTTTTTAAAAAATCATTTATGCCTTTTAAACTGGTTAGCAGTCTTTCTGTTTTCGGAATGCTGCCATCTGTTTAGTAGTGGCACCTAATCAGATGATCTTCCTGTTACCCAGGAAAGCAGAACACAGTGTGGTAAGTGTAGACCCTTTCAGCATCTTCATGCATTGTTGTAGCACTGAAGTTAATGGATCATGGTATATTTTATTGCAGTGGATTATAATGATTGGTTCCCTGTGGAGCTAAGTCCAGACCATGGGTAGTCTGCTCAATTAATGCAAGTTTTTGTTTTCGTCGTTGTTGTTGACAGAGTCTCACTGTGTAGCCCTGAGTGGCCTTGAATTCACGATGTCTTTCCTTAGCCTCCTGAGTGCTAGAATTAGAGGTGTATGAACAGCATCTGGCTTATAAGATAAATGTTTACACCAAACTAAGCAAACTAGCAGTAGAAAATAAACCAAGGGCTAAGCAGTAATTGAACTGATTGATTGTTGAGATTCTGTGGTGGAGCTTTTGAAAAGAATGCACTTTTCTGGGTTCTACTCCAGAGTCTTGGGCTGGAGGCCAGGGATAATTTTCTTAAAGACTTTCTAGATGAGGCTCCTGTCTGGCCTGCTGCAATCACTCTTCAAAGTGAATGGTGGCTGGGATGGGAGACCAGGATGACTGCAGGTCAGGTGACCAAAGGTGCTGTCACCTAGATTTTTGCGGGCTGGAGAGATGGCTCAGTGGTTAAGAGCACTGTCTGTTCTTGCAGAGGACTGGGGCTTAATTCCTAGCACATACATGGTGGCTAACAACCATTCATAACTCCAGTTCTAGGGGATCCAATGCTCTCTTCTGACTTGTGGGCATTGCACAACATGGGTGCACCTAGCTACATGCAGGCAGTACACTCATACACATACAATAAAAAATAAATAAAATATTAAAAAATTAAAAATATTCAGAATTTGTTATCAAAGAAGTTAGCTTAGACTAATTGCAATAATCCTTTGCATTTGTGTGGTAATTTATAGTTTACAAATGCTTTGCCATATTAGAACTTTATGGGTTCCAAAGCATAGAGCTGTTGAGCTGATGATATCAACTGGTTCTCACCTCAGAGTGACCCATAGTCACCCAGATTGGAAGCCAGAGCCTAAGGTGCCCTGCTGATCACACTATCCCCCGTTAAGTCTCGAAGACTAGCAAGTTCTTACCTCATCTTCTGGCAAAGTGATGAGGAAATACTATGAAAAAATGTGCTTTGCCACTTAATTGGGAGGGTGTTTTTTTTTTGTTTTTTTTTTTTTAATTTGTGGTGTTTTTTTTTTTTTTTTTTTGGCTGTAGAATAGAGTGAGTTGAAACATGTCTTGAAAGGATTTATCAAATTGTCTCGCTGTGTCCCATAAATATGTTTTAAATACAAAAGCCAAATCATGCAGCATGGCACAAAATAGAATTCTTGTACCAAATGATATACATAAGTAGATTAGGGGGATGCTCGAGGTGGGTAGTCCAGGACCCTCACATGACAAGTGAGGGTCCTTAAACTCAGGACCTGCTCTGGCCCAGGGCTTTTTAGCTAATAAGACCAAATGTTGGAAAACACATACCTTATTATACCTGCTGTTCCTAATCATGGATTTGGTGAGAAATAATCGAATATGTTGATTATTGTTGGTGACATTTATTTAGGGTATATGATTTTTAGCTTTAAATTACATTTTCTTGTAATGATGAAATATTTTGGACTCTTTTGAGTTAAAATATTCATTTTACTAAATGAGACATTTGTACAACTATCATAAACTTGTTTTTACTTATGAAATGCTTTTTCTCTCTCCAAGAAAATTAAAGGTTTTTTCCCCCTCTATATTTAAGAGCTAAGAAATGTTTTCAAAGGAAAAGTAAAATTGTTTTATTTTAAGCTCTTTTTAAGATGTTACAGCTTTTTACTTTATTTTTTGGTAATGGACAGAAAATTACATATAAAAATGTTTTGGACAGCTTTTTTGAAGCTTTTGAAGCTACCTAAAAGGTTTTTAGATTAACATGAGCTATTTTGTCTACCAGCATTAATTTTGCACAGCATAGATATAAGAATAGATGGAAGGTCAAGAACTGTGTACTGAGTGGTTTTTATAACCTGGGCAGTTAATGAGTATGCCAGTATATTGTAGGACAGGAATAGCAAAAATACTCTGAACTGTGGTTTAAAATACTGGCTGGTTTTGATGCTTTTATACTTAATAGTGGTCAGTTTCTTGCACTATGAAGTTTTTACATGACGATTTTGAAGTGGAATTCTGCCGTATTTATAAAATGTTTTCTGTACAATAAACTGAAAACATGGATCAACTCTTTTTAAATAAACTGGAATCAGATTAGGTCTTTAGAAATATATTCGTGTCTTTTAAATAGAGATTATTTTCATCATCAAAGTTGAATATTCTGAATATGTTCAAAAAGTTTTAACTAGGGGCAGGCAAGATGGCTCAGCAGGTATAGGCGCTTGCTACCAAGCCTGATGACCTAGGTTCGATCCTCAGAACCCACATGGAGAGAACCAGCTTTTCCACAGTTGTCCTCTGACCTCCACATGCGTTCCGTGGCACATGCACCCCTCCCCCACATAGCACACAAATAAGTGAATGAAAGAATTCAATAGTAGCTAGGTGACTTTCACTCTCAACTATTTTCAGTAGAATTGTTTGAAACAAGTTTCTGATATATGTATTCTAATGGGGAAAAAAAGTAATAAGAATTTGTGTGATCTGAGTCATCCTAGATTTTCATTTTTTAAACACCTGCAGATGATTGATTTTGACTGCATAGAGAACTCTTGTAGAATTTTGAAAAGCTATAAATAAATTTGAATTTTTTTCCACAGTTGAAATAACTGTAGGAAAAGGCTTAATTTAAGTAGTACTACCATGTACTTATATTAGTTGTATATCTGGTCTTTAGTAATCAAAACAGATCCCATCCTATTCCTTGTTGATAGCAAGTAGGCATCATTAAAATCAATGAGGTCTAAAACAGAATTCCAGAGGGAGGGGAAAGAGTTTTCTGGTTCTGGTGTGACTGTTCATGGCTAATCAGGGAGGAACCCAAGTCCATCAATATCTTTGAGGTTTTTTTTTTGTTTTGTTTTGTTTTGTTTTTCCCCCTAGCTGTCCTGGAACTCACTATGTAGACCAAGCTGTCCTTGAACTCAGAGAGATCTGCCTGCCTCTGCCTCCCAAGTGCTGGGACTACAGGGGTGCGCCACCACGCCCAGCAGTATCTTTGAATTTTAAGACATCGGTTTTGTGTGATACGAAGCTTCACAGGATTAGTGGTCAAGGTTGAGTTAAGTGGCTTTTGCTGGAGGAATATTTCTTCATATCTAACTTCTGGTCCCAGTTTTTTCTTACAGTCAAACCCAATATACTTGAAAAATAATATCATTAGTGTATTGCAAAGGATTTTGGTTTTACATGTCAATTGAATGCACTTACTATTTTACTTAATCCCGATATTCTTAAACTACTGTACCATTTGTTCTGTTTTTGTGTTTGAAAAGAATTAAACATGCCCACTTTTTTCCTGTAGTCTTCACATTTCATTAGCAATATTAATCATAGGTTTCTAATAGCAAAAGACAAGATTGTCTATTTTGTTGACTTTCAAAAGCTATGACTAGGGGCTAGGGCTATAGAGTGCTTGGCAGAGTGCTTGCCTAGCAAGGATGAGGCCCTGGGCTCAATCTCCATTTCACATAAACCTGGCCTGGTTACTACAAGCCTGTAATCCCAGAAGTTCAAGGTCATCCTTGGCTACACAGTAACATGAGACACTTTCTCAAAAAATAAATAAAAAACTGTTACTTTCATCAGGGAATAGTGACAGTGATCTTTTTACTTTAAGTTACATATTCTTGAGCAAAAATATACTAGTTTTACCCTACTAACATAAACTTACACACAAGAATTAACTTCACTTAGGAATTATTTTCTGGGGGTCTAGAAGTTCCTGCAGTTGCCACAGAGAATCTTGTCAGAAGTTTATAGTTGTGATTGAAATGTTGCCATTTGCTTATTATAAGAAGTTAAAGATGTGGAAAATTTCCTTTACAAAACAACATATGAAGTCAGGACGTTTTATGCTTGACTCAAATATAAAAGGATCTAGTATTCTTTATGTTTTATACTTAGATACCCTGTTAGGAGATTTAGAATGATACTTATAGTGATACTGTGATAGTAAGAATACTATACAGTTATACAGTTAACAGTACTGTACGAAATACAGCCTATATGAAAATACAGTATGGTAGGAAATTATTTGTGCAAAAATTCATTCCAAAATTGGAGCCTATATGGCTGTAAATATGAAATAAAATGGAAGAGAAAAACGCTCATTTTTTTATATTGCAGTAAAAAGTTTAATATGAACTTGTTTTGTGTCTTTATTCTCTGTCACTCCCCTAATACCTTGTCCTGTCCATTAAGCAGTGGTAGGAGGCTTCTGTTGTTTTTTCTGTACATTATTCCTGGGAACTTGCCCTGCAGGCTTTTTCTATAGTAGATAATGGTAGGATGAAAACACAGAAAGTAATCTTGGAGAAATAGGGTTTGCCCAAACTACCTCTCAGATACCATATCTTCAAAGGAATGTTTTAAACCAGCCAAACATCAGTGCCAACCTTGCCTACATTTTAAGCCCCCAAATTGAACATCCAAAATGATAATTCCATATTTTTTAAAATAAGAATTGGGCATATTACATGGTTCTTTCCAAAACTCCTGCTGTTCACAATTTTTTCTAAGGTGTATTTTGAGTCAGCCAAGGATGGTAGTTTTAACCCGCCCCCATTTGTCTGCCATTCCTGGGCCCATGTCAAACTAAAATAGGACTGTTATACTGAGACAACTACTCTGCAGTGGATGTCCCATATGCCAAGGTTTGTTGGTAACTGGAATGAGATTAGGACAGTTATGTGATACTGAATCCCAAACTGACTATGGGAATGGGGTTGGCCCAACTCACAGTGGAAGGTCACTCCTAGGGAAACAAGGGGCTTTGGGGACCCAGCAGGCAGCAGGGAAGGAGGACAGCTGACATTTGGATTCTGAAACTTAACTGTTCAGGACCATCATCATAATCAGTGTACACTCCAAGGTGCTTCTAGATGTTGAGAATTTTTAATTGTCACTACTTAGTCCATAATAATTGTTCACATTTATGGGGTATGGTGCTGTTTCAATACATATATACAATATATAATGATCAGATCAGAGTAATAGCATACCCATCATCCCAAGCACTGATCATTTCTTTGGGGAATATTCACAAAATTCTACTATAAATGTGTAATAAATTATTACTAACTGTAGTCACCCTCTAGTGCTATATAGAATTGCAGGACTTTGGGCTGGAGACATGGCTCAGTGGTCAAGAACACTGACTGTTCTTCCAGAAGACCTGGGTTCAAATTCCAGCTCTCACATGGCAGCTAACAACTGTCTGTAACTTCAGTTCCAGGGATCTGACAGCTTCTTCTGTCCTTCTTGGGCATTGCACGACATGGGTGCACTTACCTACATGCAGGCAAAACACATGCACATAAAATAAAAAATTCCAGGACTTTCCTTCCTATCTATTATGTTTTCTTTTTCTTGAGACAAGGTCTCACTGTGTAGCCCTGGCTGGCATGAAACTTGCTATGTAGATCAGGTTGGCCTCAAACTCAGATAATCTGCCTGCCTCTGCCTCCCACGTGCTAGATTAAAGGCATACAACCATCACTTCCAACTTTCTGTATTTTTGTACCTAACTACCACTCCATATACCCTCTCTTGC